GAAATGCCAAGTTAAATCAGTTAGATACTTTTTTTTCACCTATCAGATTTGCAAAAATTAAAGATTGTTCATCCTCAGCAAGGGCATGAGGAAAAGCACTCTCAATGGTGAAATTGTAAACCTTCTTGAATGTCACTTTGTGATGTCCATTTAAATTTTTAAATGTACATATCCTTTAACCCAGAAAATCTCCTACTAGAAAGCTATTCCACAGAATTATTTGTGTATATATATCCTTGAGCATTGTACAAGGACGTTCGCTGCAGCCTTGTGGTGGCTTGGGCTAGGGTGATAGGCAGAGGAGATGGAAACATGTGGCAAAATACATGATACAGTTTGAAGATCAGGTCAGCCTGACTTCCTGATGAATTACATGTGGGCGGGGGAGGGGAGATGAGAGAAAGAAGAATCAAGGGTGATCTTGGGTTCTTGGCTTGAGCAACTGAATGGATGGTGTCAGTTTACTGAGACAGGGGAGGCTAAGGGAAGAGGGTAGGGATGTGAGGGCAATCAGGAGTGCTGTTTTAGCCATGTTATGTTTGAGATGCCTATCTGATAGACAAGTAGAAATGTCATATAGGTCACTGAATATATGAGGCTGCAGCTTGGAAGAAAGGCCTGGGTCAGAGACATAAATTTGGGAGTGATGAGTATCTAGAAAGATGTTATTTAAAGCCATGGGGCTGGAGGAAAACCCCTGGGAAGATTTTGAATGGATAAAAGTCCAGACTGAGCCCTGGTTCACTCCAATGTTCAAATTCAGTAGAAAAAGAGGCTGGGCAGTTTTTGTACAAACTTGAATTCCAAAGAAGTTAACATATATTAAATGGTGAGAATCACATATTTACCCCCTTATCAAGGGCCCAACTCCTTCCAAGTCTGTCTTTAAAGAGATTCTGGCCTTTTTACCTTCCCAAACATTTCAAAACACATTTAAACAGAATAGCACTGTTTTTTCTTTTATGTTGAATAGTGGTTTTTTCACACTGCATAATCCTCTTAGTATAAAACTAGTCAAATACTACACAAGTAGCTCTCAGCTTTTTTTCCATAAAGTTCATAATCCAATAACCACCTCACCCCTAAAAGGCTAAGGGTGACTTGAGGCCAGACACCTAATTTGTACCATCCTTTATTCTTCTGAACTGTTCATCTCCCCATTGCACAGTAACTTTCTCCAGCCTCTGAAACTGCCAAATTCCTGAAAGGCCTCAAGACATCTGATGCTCCGCACCCCCTCATTCTAGTGCAGCCCCCCTGCCTACCAACAAGAAGCACAGCATCTTTGCATTCTTACTTTTAAACTTTAGAATTTTCCATCCAGAGGTCCATACTTTAAAAAAACAGAGAGGAAGCACTTCCAACTAGGTGAAAGTTGTCATCAGGAACACAATTTCCAAGCAAAACTCAGCAGAAGGAAAGCTGTCGGAGAACTGGGCCTGGGGCAACCTTACACCTGTAGGGCAACAAACTGGGTAGGCTTTTTGGGTCCAGGAGAGCATAAAAGAGTGCCAAATTCCTAGAATGGTAATGTTATTCATTAATACATTTAACAAATATTAGTATGTACCTACGATGTATCAGGGTCTGTTCTGGGTCTTGGGGTCAATTGGCAAATACAACAGACAGCAATCCCTGCCCACATGACCTTTACGTTACTGGGGAGGGGGAGGCAAACCATAAGCAAAAAAATGTAATAAGATAGGAAAGGGGCATATCGAATATTCACAGAAGGGGTTACAAATTTAAATATGGTTGTCAGGAAATGCCTCACTAAGAAGGCGACATTCAAGCACAAACTCCTAGCTGTGGGATTTCAAGTGCATCAGGAAAATGCCTTGTGTACTTCAACTCCACCATCACTCCACCTCAGCTCCTTGAAGGCATGGTATCCCCAGTTTCTAGCACAAATATGTGTTAATTTCTTGTGTTTAAGACAAAGGGAGCTTCAAAATCCAGACCTTGCCCTTAGAGAAGTTACAAACTTTCAGGTGGAAAAACGACTAAGCAGTATTAAGGGCATTACTGGGGTGTAAACAAAGTGCTTTAGGATACAGGATAACTAGTAATTCTTCTTAGGGGAAGGAAATGTATGTACAGTAAGGCTGTTCCAAAAGAGGTGCTTTTAGAGCTAATTCTTGAGATATGAACAGGAATTAATGGGAGGAGAGGGAGTATGGTGACAAGTTAGCTTTTCAGGAAAAAAAAAAAAAAAGGAATAGTTTGAACAAAGTCCCAGAGATAGGATCAGGAAGGACATTTTCTCCCTGACTATGCCTGCCTAAGGTACTCCATCTATCCCATGACAAAACAAGCACACAATCACCCTCAGGCTCCCTGGCCTGGCCATTAGGAAATCCTTATCACTTACCACCCTCTCTCCTTTCTCCCGTAGCCAGCAGGAGAGGAAGAAGTTGAGTCAGGTGCACATCCCTAGAATCCTCTCCTAACTTCAGGACAATTGCCACTGAGCTGACAGCCCAGGAGGTTTCATTCATCCAGGTATACTCGGGGGTGTGTGTTTACAGTTGCAACTGGGGCCATGTTGGAAATGAAGTGGGTAACACACCAGTGAGGTAAGTGGTCCAAAGTCTCCGCAGTGCATCTAAGGTGGAGTCAAGGACCAAAACTTATATTTCAGCTTGGAAGCGAAATTTTTAATTACTTAGTCCCTCACCCATGAGCTATTCAGTGGTCCTCACATCCAAGACAGTAGAGGTGGTGTGTCAGGATAGGAACACAAGCTCTGCCTCCATTGATGAGGTGTGGCAAAGCACTTAACCTCTCAGGAGTATTTTTTTTCATCAGAACATGGTTAGAATTATAGTGCCTACTGCATACAGTTACTCTGAGGATTGTATAATTATGTAAAAAACTTATCACAGTGTCTGGCTCAATAGATTCTAACAAACATTATTAGTAGCAGGCTTCAAGGAGAAAAGCTCAGACAGCATCAACCAGAATGCCACATAAATTCACAGACCAATTACCCCAGAACAGGCCTCCAAGCTCCATTTCACTGCTCTGACTTAGAGTGAGACACCTGAAATTGTGTTACCAGCAATGTTCATCGTTTGCTGTAAAAGTGCACCACAAACCAAGTTGGTGGTACTTTTCTACTAGGATTTTCAGTACGTGCTATTAGGTATTAAGTATGAAATGTCCAATTTCCTTAAGTACTAAGTTTGACAGCTGGTATCTCTGACATTTCACTTTGACACTTCTTGTTTTATTTTTATTGTGAAGGTACATCCTCAGTCTTGCAAACACACATTTTGGCTTGTGATTATCTTTCAATTTTTTAAGAGCAATTTTTGTGAAACCATGAACAAGTCAAAAATTCATGTTATTTTCAAATATGAGTTCTGTTGTGGAACCAATGCAGCTCAGACAGCTTGAAATATCAACAAAGTGTTTGGGAAGGATGTGGCTAATGAACACACAGCATGTCAATAGTTAGAGAAGTTCCACTGTGGTGATTTTAATCTTGAAAATGAGCTACATGTGCAACCTGAGACCAAGGTGGATGATGAACTGAAATCCGTAGCAGAAGTGAATCCATCTCAACCTACGCATGCATTAGCAGCAAGGTCTGACATTACTATTCCAACAATGTGGGACTATTCGAAACAAATTGGCAAGGTAAAGAAGCTGGATAGATGGATTCTGCACGAATTAAACAAGCCTCAGAAATCGTCTCGAAGCTTGCCTTTCTTTGCTGTCACGATGTAAAGCTGAACCATTTCTACACCATATTGTTACACATGATGAAAAACAGATTCTTTCTGACAAACACAGGCATTTGGCGCAATAGTTGAATAAAGATGAAGTGCGGAAACAGAGTCCAAAACCAAATATTTGTCAAAAAAAAAAAGCTAATGGTGTCTGTGTGGTGGTCCAGCACTAGTATTATCCACTACAGTTTCATGAAACCTGGTCAATCGATTACAGCGGATGTCTATGGCAACCAATTGGACAAAATGACGAGGATGCTTCCAATTAAGCAGCCAAGATTGGTCAATAGAGACAGGCCAATCCTCTTGCAATAACACATGTTGCAAAAAACAAGGCTGCTCAAACTATAGAAGCTGGACTTGGAAACTGTCATCCACTGTATTCACCAGACCTTACACCAACTAACACTTTTTCCAGGCTTTGGACCACTTCTTGCAAGGAAAAATATTCAATTCACAACAAGCTGTGGAAAAGGCCTTTGACAATTTCATTGCCACTCACCCTCCAAGCTTCTTCGCTCCTGGCATAAAAACAAGCTACCATTAAGATGGCAAAACTGTGTGCATAGTTTAGGCACATACTTTGATTAATTGTACTGCTTCTTGTTTGAGATATAAGAAACTACACTTTGATTCAAAATCGGACATTTCGTATTTAATTAAAAAACCAGAAAACTTCATCAGTGCGGCAACTCTGCATTAAACATTGTTCTCACTATAGCAGGAGTGAACACTTTGGGTCATTAATTCCTCAATATTAGTGGATTTATGGGGGAGGAGCTGAAAGAGCAGAAAAGAAGCCAGTTAAAAATAGGTCCAAGATGTACTGAAAACTAATTTCCGTCACAAATGTACGAAGTCTAGGGTCAACCCTACCAAGAGCAGTATTCTGGAATCGTAGATCCTCTGATCCTGAAGAAGCAGTGTACTAGAGGAAGAAAACATTGGTTTATGAGAAACCCATCGCTTTTTCAAGACACCAGAATTCTAACCAAATGATTTCACCACCAGAAAACCCATCTCCTTCAATGTTAAGGGCCGGAGAAACACTTTTTCTGCCCTGATACAAACCACAGGAGCTAGAAGCATTCTGTGCCCCTTCTGAGGGTTTCTGGGGACCCTCCTCCAGGAGCAAATCCCCTCAGCCTGCTTACAGGGTAGCAAGATAAGCAGTTCAGCTCCAGAGCACACAGCCTGGTCCCCAGTCCCAAGCAGAGAGGGAGCCCATTGAGGCAGGACTCAGGCCAACCGGCCTCCAGCCTTTACCTGTGGGAGACTGGCCAAGGCCAGGGAAGCCAACGCACCAGGGTCCGAGGTCCGGAGACAGTGCAGGTTAGAGACCCCGCGCGACGGCCCAGAGCTATGAGAGGAACCCACGAAAAAGTGACTGGACGCCTCTGAGGGCGCAGTTCCAGCTAAGAGCTCGGATCCACCCCCGCCCCCAGGGCCAGCTCTCCGGAGGGGCCCGGCTCCGGCTGGCGGGAAAAGCCGCGGCACTCCGCGCTGTGAGCTGGGACACAGAGAACGCAGCGCCCAGAGGGACGCAGCCCGCGTTAGCGACGGGTGGGCCAGGGAAGGAGCCAGAAGAGGCCTCTGAGAAAGAAAAGTGTAGGGGAGGGACCGCCCCAAGCTGACGGGAGTCAAAGCCTGGGGGGTGCGGTCCCGGAGAGGGGACCAGGGACAGGGGCCAAGCGGTCAGCTAGGGAGAAGGAAAGACAGGGAGAGCAGAAAGGGGTAGGGAAGGGAGCGGGACCCTGAAATGGGGGTGGGGGCTGCTTCAGCGGCAAAATGGGGCTGGGGGCCCAGAAGGAGCCCCTGACCGAGGGTGAGGGGGCAGCCGCTGGCTGCAGACCTACCTGTCACCTGCAACAGGTGCCGCGAGAGGGTGAGACGTCCCAGTGCCAGGTTCAGGGGAGGGTCTGCAGCTCTGGGAAGACCACAGCCCTGTCCGGCGGCCGGCCCTTCTCACCCTCCCAGGAGGCGGAAAAAGCTGCAACTTTCCCTGGAGCGGGGAGGAGCTGGACTCTTAAAGGGGCCGCACAGAGCTCCCGGCTCCTTAGTAGGGGGCCGCTCAGCCTGAAAGGAGCCCTTGGAGCCAAAGGCCTAAGGCACTGGAGGAATGTCCTCCCCGGTTAGGGAAGGGAGCTTGGGGACTGAGCTTAGAGGTCTAAGACTAGATGAACCGCCCTCCTTTACTTCCATCTGGTTCACTCTTTTTGATGGTAAAATCACACTTCTTCCGTTCAGCTGGGCCAAAAGTTGTCCAATTGTTCTTTTAAGAAGATAAAGAGTCTGAGCTATAAATTTGGGAAAATGTGATATCATTCTGATCCTTTGACTTGCGGCCTTTTGTGGCAAATAAAAGCGTCTATCTAAACTAGAAAGGTTTTGGGCAAAGGACACAGACTAAATTTACACATACACACTCAAAGACACAACTGGTTAAAATATTAATCTCACTAGTAATCAAAGAAGAGCAAATTAGACCAATAATGAGATTCTTTGGCAAAGAGTTGTTTTTTTTTTTTTTTATTAAATAACACTTAATGATGACAAAGTGGCCACCAATACAAGCTCTCTCATAATTGCTGGTAGGAGTGTATATTGGTTAAAATCCCTTTTAGAAAACATGAGCAATATATATAGATAGACTTGAAAATGTTTATATCTACACAGTAATTGCAAATTTCTCTCCTTTTCTCTCCCACCCCCTATCTTCCTTTTTTATGGGGGGGGGGAGAATGTTTTTTTATTTATTTTTTATTTTTTTTTTATGTCAGAGTATTACAGAGGTACAAACATTTTGGTTACATAAATTGCTTTTGTACAGTTTGAGTCAAAGTTATAAGTGTGCCCATGACCACATGTACTCTTCCATCTTCTTTACATTAGCCATTGAACATGCTCAAGTTTCTCCCAGCTTAAAAAAATATATTCTGCCTACACACAAAGTCCCTCTCCAGCTCCTCTTCATAGGCAAATGTATTGAAAATGTACTTTACAGGTGCATTTGTAATTTTCATTCCCTTACTTCTCATTCATTTCTCAACCCTCAGCAATCCAGCTGCCTTCCCCACTGAAACTGTGCTCAATAAAATACCCACCCAATGACCTCTGTGTCAATAAATCCATTAATAAATAAAGTAGGGCATTTCCCCTCCTTATCTTGTTTGACCTCTTCCCCACATTTCACACTGTTAACTATTTCCTCCTTGAAATTTTCTGTGGCATCTATGACATCATACTCTCTTGCTTTTCCTCCTACTCTTTTGCCCTGTCCTCAGTCACCTTTGTAGGTTCCTCTTCTGTTATCTAATCTCTGAAAGTTGGACATTCTTAGGGCTAGGATACATATACTCCCTCCCTGAATCATCTCTTTCACTCACTTGGCTTTAATTACCATCTATGTGGCCACATCTGTAATTCTGTAACTCCACCCAGACTGCTTCATTGAGCTCTGCTTTCTTTTTTTGTTTTTTTTAATTCAGGATATTATGGAAGTACAAACATTTTGATTACATGAAATGTATTTGCCTCACCCAAGCCAGGATTACAATCATGACCTTCCCCCATACAGTGTGCCCAGTTTCCATTAACTGTGGGTTTACCTCCCCATCCTGTCCACCCTCCACCCCTGCTACCTGACCGGCACCCAGTGAGTATTACTACCAAGTGAGCACCTTAGTGTTGATCAATTAGTACCAGTTTGATGGCGAGTACATGTGGTGCATGTTTTTTCTATCCTTGTGATACCTGACTTCGAAGGATGGGCTCAATCTCTATCCAGGATAATACAAGAGGTGCTAGTTTACCATTGTTCTTTGTAGTTGAGTACTATTCCATGGTATACATATACCACATTTTATTAATCCACTCATGTATCGATGGACATTTGGGTTGTTTCTATATCTTTGCAATTTTAAATTGTGCTGCTATAAACATTCAAGTGCAGATGTCTTTATTATAGAATGTCTTTTTTTTTTCCTTTGGATAGATGCCTAGCAGTGGAATTGCTGGATCAAATGGTATTTCTTTTTAGCTCTTTGAGGTATCTCTAAATTACTTTCCACAAGGGTTGTACTAATTTGCAGTCCCACCAGCAGTGTAAGAGTGTTCCAATCTCTCCCCATCCGTGCCAGTGTTTGTTATTTTGGGATTTCTTGATAGAGGCCATTCTCACTGGAGTTAGGTGATATCTCATTATAGTTTTGATTTGCTCAACATCTCTAATCATTATGGAGCTCTGTTTTCTTGACATCTCCACTTAGATGTCCTGCAGGCACCTCAAACTCAACACATCAAAAGCTAAACCTACCATCCTTTCTCTTAAATTTGCTTCTCCCCCAGTGTTTCCTATCTCAGTAAATGACAATATGCCACTCAAGGTAGAAACCTGGCACCTAGCCCTGGCACATAGTAGGACCTCGGTAACATTTGTATAATAAATGAATGAATGTATCCTAAGGAAAGGGATATGTTCACAATGCTTTTGTTCAACTATGTTAATCCCAGTATTACTTAGAATAATAAAATACTAGAAAAAATTAATGGTTCAATGGTTAAGTAAATTATAGTATAGTCAAACAATGGAATATTATATAGCAAATTAAACTGATATTTACACATGGTTTGTAATGACAAAGAAGTGTTTGTGCTATAATATCAATTGAAAGTAAGATACGACATTTAATATAAAATATGACCAAAGCAATTCATGGAAACAAGCACCACATGTACTCACCATCAAATTGGTATTAACTGATCAACACTTAAGTGCATATATAGTAATAACATTCATCGGTGTCAGGCAGATGGGAGGGAGGAGGAGGGGACGGGTATATTCACACCTAATGGGTGTGGTGTGTACCGTCTGGGGGATGGACACGCTTGAAGCTCTGACTCGGGTGGGGCAAGGGCAATATATGTAACCTAAACATTTGTACCCACATAATATGCTGAAATAAAAAACATTTAAAAAACATTTCATGGAAACAGGATATGCATGGACAAAAATTAAAAGGAAAAACATGCATAGCTCATTTTATTGCACTTCATTTTATGCACTTCACAGACATTGTTTTTTACAAATTGATGGTTTGTGGCAACCCTTCTGGTTTTTTGCAAGAGTTTTTTTGTTTTTTTTTAAATAACACTTAATGATGACAAAGTGCCCCAATACAAGTTCTCTCATAATTGCTGGTAGGAGTGTATATTGGTTAAAATCCCTTTTAGAAAACATGAGCAATATATATAGATAGACTTGAAAATGTTTATATCTACACAGTAATTGCAAATTTCTTTCTTTTTCTCTCCCACCCCCTATCTTCCTTTTTTATGGGGGGGGGAGAATGTTTTATTTATTTTTATTTTTTTTATGTCAGAGTATTACAGAGGTACAAACATTTTGTTACATAAATTGCTTTTGTACAGTTTGAGTCAAAGTTATAAGTGTGCCCATGACCACATGTACTCTTCCATCTTCTTTACATTAGCCATTGAACATGCTCAAGTTTCTCCCAGCTTAAAAAAATATATCTGCCTACACACAAAGTCCCTCTCCAGCTCCTCTTTATAGGAAATGTATTGAAAATGTACTTTACAGGTGCATTTGTAATTTTCATTCCCTTACTTCTCATTCATTTCTCAACCCTCAGCAATCCAGCTGCCTTCCCACTAAAACTGTGCTCAATAAATACCCACCCAATGACCTCTGTGTCAATAAATCCATTAATAAATAAAGTAGGGCATTTCCCTCCTTATCTTGTTTGACCTCTTCCCCACATTTACACTGTTAACTATTTCCTCCTTGAAATTTTCTGTGGCATCTATGACATCATACTCTCTTGCTTTTCCTCTACTCTTTTGCCCTGTCCTCAGTCACCTTTGTAGGTTCCTCTTCTGTTATCTAATCTCTGAAAGTTGGACATTCTTAGGGCTAGGATACATATACTCCCTCCCTGAATCATCTCTTTCACTCACTTGGCTTTAATTACCATCTATGTGGCCCATCTGTAATTCTGTAACTCCACCCAGACTGCTTCATTGAGCTCTGCTTTCTTTTTTTGGTTTTTTTAATTCAGGATATTATGAAGTACAAACATTTTGATTACATGAAATGTATTTGCCTCACCCAAGCCAGGATTACAATCATGACCTTCCCCATACAGTGTGCCCAGTTTCCATTAACTGTGGGTTTACCTCCCCATCCTGTCCACCCTCCACCCCTGCTACCTGACCGGCACCCAGTGAGTATTACTACCAAGTGAGCACCTTAGTGTTGATCAATTAGTACCAGTTTGATGGCGAGTACATGTGGTGCATGTTTTTTCTATCCTTGTGATACCTGACTTCGAAGATGGGCTCAATCTCTATCCAGGATAATAAGAGGTGCTGATCACATTGTTCTTTGTAGTTGAGTACTATTCCATGGTATCTATACACATTTTATTAATCCACTCATGTATCGATGGACATTTGGGTTGTTTCTATATCTTTGCAATTTTAAATTGTGCTGCTATAAACATTCAAGTGCAGATGTCTTTATTATAGAATGTCTTTTTTTTCCTTTGGATAGATGCTAGCAGTGGAATTGCTGGATCAAATGGTATTTCTTTTTAGCTCTTTGAGGTATCTCTAAATTACTTTCCACAAGCGTTGTACTAATTTGCAGTCCCACCAGCAGTGTAAGAGTGTTCCAATCTCTCCCCATCCGTGCCAGCGTTTGTTATTTTGGGATTTCTTGATAGAGGCCATTCTCACTGGAGTTAGGTGATATCTCATTATAGTTTTGATTTGCTCAACATCTCTAATCATTATGGAGCTCTGTTTTCTTGACATCTCCACTGAGATGTCCTGCAGGCACCTCAAACTCAACACATCAAAAGCTAAACCTACCATCCTTTCTCTTAAATTTGCTTCTCCCCCAGTGTTTCCTATCTCAGTAAATGACAATATGCCACTCAAGGTAGAAACCTGGCACCTAG